TTGTGGCGTGATACAACCACAAACAGGAATAGCAAAAAAAAAAAAAAAAAAAAAAAAAAAATCTCTCGGGTAGTATTTTCTTGGCTACTCTGGTAGAGGAAGACCTAAGGAGAAGGGATGTGGTGGCAGTAGGGTTTGTTTGGTCAATAGCTGGTGTCTTTTGGTGCCTCGATGTATTTTTCACTATGTTGTATCCTGATTGATGTACTGTAAAAGTATAAATTTAGCTTTAGCACCTCTTAGAGAAGTAATTCATTTTCATTTTGTGAATCAAACTTAAAAACAGCCACGTGAAAAATATCTTTAGACCTGTGACTATTAAATGGAGAAACTTGTAACTTATTTTATTTTGGGGAAACTTTATTTTTAACTGGCCACCAATTCCTTCTAGTCTAACTTTTTTGACTGTCAAGGAGAAAACAGTGGATGACAAAGGCAAAAACCATATAGGCATTCTTTTATATTACTTTCTCTGATAACAAATTAGTTTATACAATGGCGGGTGTAATGGTGTAAGTTTCCTCCAGTAAAGCATTTTTTGAATGGTTTAATTCAGTGTGGAGGCAAATAAGCGGAGTTTGGGGAATTTATCTTAGGCGATTTTCTTTTATAACTTTATGCTAATTTATGTTACTGCATGTGAATAAAAAGACAAAGCATTCTCTAATAAATTTTAGACTGTATGGCAAACTGCTTATTGTATTTTAAAACATCAAGTGCTGGACAGAGGCAGTGTTCTGCTCTAACATCATTTACCAATATAATTCATGCATGTTGAGTATAAGAGTACTTTTGCATATTTTAATATAGACACATGGAATTAGAATTTCAAGATTTAAATCTCTTTCTAAAAAAATAAAGTAGTTTATTTTAATATTACATTGCTAATTCCGTGTATTCATAAACTGACTAATCTGCTGAAGCTTTCTTTAGAAAATTTCAGATAATGTTGCTTTTAATTTAAAATACCCCATTTTTTTCCTTTTAAAATATAATTAGATCTATATGTTTTTGGGGGTTTAGAAATTTGATAAAGTCAACTGAAGATCTTTTTTAGTTGTAGATTTTAAAGTTTTCTAAAAAAATGTTTTTTATTTTAAAAACATACCTGTTTGAGAAATATTAGAAACAGATGACGAGAAATATTAGAAACACCTGATGAGAAATATTGGAAACAGATGAACTAAACTACATTTTAAAATCCCCATAAAATTTTAATTAATTTTCCTTAATAGGACCATAATATGCAAAGTTTTGTTATTTGCCTACTTGGCTAGTAGCTTAAATAGAAAGTATCATTTTAGATCAATAAATATTCCTCTATAACATTTTCAGTTTTTTGTTTTTTGTTTTTGTTTTAAATACGCTACCCTATTGTCAAACAGAATATCAGAGAACCTAATAGCAAAGTGGGTGAAAGAGAGCTACTGTGATTAAATCAGGAGCTGGGGGATCCCAGAGTTATGCCTTGAGGCTTTTATGTCTCAGTGTGATTTTATTATCCACGTGTATTATATTATTCAACCAACCCCCTTTAACTTTGATTTTGTCTTTTATTTATTTTTTTCAAAAAATGAACTAACTTTGCCTCTATAACCATAAAAACAACACATGCTTATTATTCAGATGATATAAGAAGTATGTAGAAACAAAAAGTCAAAATCACCTGCAGTTCTGCCACTTAGAGATTAGTATTTTGCATGGCATATATCTTTCCAGCCTTTTCTAAGTGCATTTATACATAAACCTTTTTAATTTTTTCCTCAAGAATGTCATATTTAACTCATTTTTTCTTAGTTTTATAATCATCTAAATAAAATATAATTTTAGTATTTTAATTTTACATAGTATTGCATTTTGTGAATTTAACCTAGCCTCCATTAGTTAAACCTTTAGAATGTTTCTCATATTTAATGTTTTTGTAAACATCAGTGTCTGTACATAGATATAAAGATGAAGTTTCCAGCAAAGTATCTCAGGAACGAATAATTAGAGAATATATAGAATTCAGTAAGAAAATTTTGGCTTTAATTCCTGCCGTAGTGATAAAATTTAAGGAATTAAAAAAATTTTTTTAATTGATGGATTATAAACTTTGAATGGTCTTAATCCTCATAATATTAATACTGAGACAATTTTACATGAAAAATATAATTCATAAATTTTCTAGCATTCTTATTATCTGTTTTTGTTGGTTTTTATTTTGACATTTTCCCACATGAAGATTTGTACAAGTTAGAATAATTCGTAAACTTGAAGCCTTTTGATTTTTTTTCCCTTTATTCCAAAAGGTGAATGAATCTTACCTACTGCATCATAACACTACTTTTCTAAAGATTTTTTTTTCAGCTTCTTAGAGGGAAGAAAATTATTTGTTAACTTTATCATATGAATCAACAGATGTAATCCAATCTAAATACCTTTTTTTAAGGTAAAGAAAAATGTGGCTAGAATGTTAGCTTTTTAACTTTGTAAAGACTCAGTTGCGTTTTGACTCTTAAATGGAAAGCCTTCTAAAATCCATCTGAGAATCTAACATTTATCTGTCTTCTAACTTGTTCACTCTACTCCACCCTTCTTTTTTCCCATCTGAGGCAAAAGAAAATGACTTAAAAGTGACAACCTTGCCTTGAATTATAGATACAGTTCATCATTAATTTCTTGCTAAGTGAGGCATACTTAAGAACTGTAAGTTATTAATACTTATAAAAGATAAGACCATGAAACTGAAGAGACTTGATGCAGTTATTTTGATCTTAGGTTTCAAATGGGTTAAGCTTCCTTTTCTTTTTAACTGTTTATTTTGACATAATTTCAGACTTAAGGAAAAGTTGCAGGAATACTACAAAGAATTCCATGTACTTTTCACCTAAGTTCTCCAAATGTTAACAATTTACCATATTTGCTCTATCCTTTTTTCTCTGTAAATACATACATTTATGACTTTGAACAGTCCAGAAAACAGAGTAATTTGTAGACATATTGCTGTTTAAATACTCTAGAGTATGTTGCAAGACCACAAAGATATTCTCTTACATGACCACAGTATGATGCTGAAAATCAGGAAATTAACAGTGGTACAACACTATTATCTAGCCTAAAAGTCAGTTTTCTTTCATTTTTAGATAATTTCTAAGCTTTCTATAATTGGGGAAGGGAGTTAGGGGCAAGTTCTAAATTAATTAACCTTTTGTTAAAATGTTGGTCCGATAGGATTTTTCTAGTTTTCTTTGGTCTCCATTTTGCTATATTTTATATCATAAAAATATGTAATTCAAAATGAATAACAAAAATCACAGTGTATATAGCATTTGAAGTAAGTATGAAGCGTCTGAAATCTGGCATCTTTATTTAGAATATGAGGGAGGAGTTAAAACTAAAGATTTCCCTCGATATTTGGTATTTGTTTCAAATTGGAAAGTTTAGATTATGGATTGTAATATATTTTTCTTTTACAGATGCCCTTATTGCTTATTGTTATTCCTATGCTATTTTATGCCTATTAAATTGAGGCTAATTAAGATTAGATTATTTTATTTCCTTCAAAAGATGTAGAGGCTTTCCCCATTTCAAAGATTCACATTCTGAAAATATGTATGTTTTACAGTGCTGGTTCTTAGTGATTGACTTATCTTAGTTTTTCTAATTATTCTAATTTATCCTGACTTTCTTATCTTTTCTATATATAGAGTATGATTTATATGTCATTCCTAGTCTTTCCTTTACTGGTGTTATAGAATTGCTGTACATCTTCTGACTTGATTATCAATACATTGGAAAAGGGAAGTCTTAACTTTTTAAATATTTCTTTTAATATAAACTATAAGTGAGTATCCCTGGATCTTTTTTTTAAAGTTTCAAATTAATATTTGTCATTTGCTATCCAGATCCAAGATTGCAAAATGTCATCAGGAAATGTAATAGTTTTTGTAAGGTGTGATTTTAGTCCAAATAACTTTATATTAATATTTTTGATACATTTAAGAAGAATTTATTTTGTAGCAGTAACTTTGAGCTTTAAAAAAAAAACCCTTTGGTGCACACTATAAAGTATCTGTGATGATTAAGCTGCTTCTATTTAGGAGAGAATATAAATTCAGGGAGCCCATAAACTGTTTAATAGTCTCCTGCAAAAACACAGTTGTTTTGCAGCAAAAGGATATAGTTTTCAGCTAAGAGATGCGGTGGTTTTATTTTTCTGACTTTAATTTCACACTTTTAAAACAACAGACCATTCAGTTCTTCAACTCAGAATCTTTTTTTTTTCCTCACCCAAGAAAATCTCAATTTAGGCATTTTGACGAGGGTCAGAAAGTATGAGATTTATGCTCTTTCAATCTGTATGTTTTTTTAAACTGCAGGATCACTTTACAGCTTAGTTTTTTTTCCTTAATATTGTGGTGTCATTTTTTAAAAGATGATGGTTGTCATGTGAAAGCTTTATTTTCATTAGAATTATAGTCAAAAAATAGAACACATCTAACAAACATGACATAACTAAATTCTTATTCTAAAATAAACTTATTTTTTCCAGATTGCCTGCCTAACAATGTTTCACTTCAGAATATACAGTTGAGTAACAAAGAGAAGGAACATTTGAGAAGAGGAAAACAGATTTATTTTAAAAGTATTATTTTATTTAGAATAATAGAGTGATAGATAAATTTCATATGTCTAGACTTGGCACTATATTACACTGAGACTAATGTTTGGCTGTAATAGAAAAAAAAAGAATTACATAATTTGGGATCCTCAGTTTGAACAATAACTTTCATATTGTCTTTGACTTTTCTTTCCTTCCATATGTTCTAGTCCATGTGTTCAGGGAGAGTATGACTTCATGTTATCTCTAGTGACAAATTTTTTCTTGTCTTAATTGCATTTGACATTAGCTATCATATGATGAAATTATTTTTAAGATAATAACTAATAAAGTGAAATTTTATGATACACAGAAATATAATAAGAGTGAGCAGGAAAAGATCAACAAAAGCTTTACAGAGTAGATGGAACTGTTTGGAGGATTGAGTAGAATTATGATAGGCTGAGATGCATGTTAGAGGATAGAACTTTATGTCTGTGTGTATGTATATGTGTAGGAAGGATTCTCACCTTTGTGAGGGATAGATGAGGACAGATGTGACAAAATACAGTAGAAATAACCTTGGCGAATGTTGATACTATAGGGAAATGGCTTTGACTGGAAAATTAGAGAGATTTGTATTATGTGGCATTAAAAGATGAGGAAAAAAAATAGGATCAGATCATGAAACACCTGCAAGGTTAAGTACAAGACTTTAGTTAGTCTTAATCCAAAGAGTGTTGAAGTACTACTGGTTTTTGAGTAGGGATGATAATTAATGTGATATCAAATTTGATTGAAGGCAAGTGGAGCTGGGATATAGGAAAACCAATTAGGAATCTATTGCAGTAATTTATAAGAATGAAAGCTTTGATTAGAATAAAGTCAATATAGAGAAAGAAATTAATCTGAAGATTACTTTAAGAGAGGATTCTTTTTTAAAACAGCCCCTACCCCCATTTTGTAAGTTGAAGAGGAATTATTGAGATGTGGTTGCAAAATTTTAAGAACAGATCCAGTCAATGGTGGTGATACTCATAAGTGGGAAAATTATAAAGGAGAGCTATTTTGTGAAAAAGGATAACATTTATATTCTTTCATGTTGAATTTAACTGATGATCAGACATTCAGTTGACAGTTTTTCATTTATTAGAGAATTTGTTACAGTCACTTCATTGTCAGGGAAAATCTTCAGATTATACAGAGTTTCTCCATTGTAATTATTATTTTAGAAGATTCATAGTACTTGTTAAATTGTATACTTCCATGCACAAGTAGAATTGCTGAAGCATAAGCATTTCTAAGAAGTTTGGGATTACTGTAAAATAGAGCTAATAAATGTATAAGATTTTTTTTTTTTTTACATTAAGTCTTAACCATCTCGCTGCCTGGCATTTTGTTAGGGATACTTAGATGAATGATAGTTCCTATAGAATTACAAATATTCTAATAGCTATAGTGAAATTTAATAATTACATAGCAGTCTAATTAGTCCATAATTGTTGACATTAGTAAATGTAAGGTCATAATGTGTGACCTTAGATTTGCCTATTTTGTTTTTACTTTATACCGACTATAAAGCATTTTCTTTTGTCTTTTCAAATTATTTTTTCTGGCATTCTTAAAACTTTTTTAAAAATACATGAGAGATGCTTCTCCTGTCATTTCTGAAGTTCAAAGATAGAACAAAGATCCGACAATACTGCAGGTGCTTTTGAGTTTTTCTGTTTTGGCCTGAATTATTCAAGCAGCAGCTGAAATTCTCCCCTTAAACTTATGGCCTATGACAGTGTTGACTTTTCATACTCTTATGAGAAAATTAGAGAGCTTTTGGGTAAATCAGGTTTTTCAAATTTGGGAAAAGTACAGAAACATTTAGAGGAAAATTGGGGTTGGTTTCTTAATGACAAATTTGTGTTAATGTGACAGGAAAATATTCACGTAAACACCAGGGAAAGTTAATTGTTTGTTGCACCCTCATAAAAATCATTTGTACTTACTTGTTAATTTTTCAAAATAGTGAATTAAGTTGGAAAAACTAATGTTTTATTCTTTACACTATTTAATATTAACCTTAAACACCAAAATTTCCTACTGTTAACCTTCTTTATGAGCTTACATAACTTTGTTTGAGTGACAGAAGAATCAATTTTGTGTGTATATATATATAAAACAATGGATATATATATCCATAGAAATAGTGACTACTTAAATATTTAAATCATTTTAATATTTGGGGGGATGGTATGGAAAATTGAAGACATCTTTAATTATTTGAGATTTTGTAACTAGAACTTCTTAAATATCTTGTTTTGTTAGTAAATTGGTTTTAAAGGCTGTGAGCAAGTCAAGCGGTAGCCATTAAATGAACCTCTACTGCTGACATTAATTTACAGGGGTCAACAGGACAAAACTCTGCGACATGATAGCTGATCTGGGAGATGATGAGCTGCCCCACATCCCTTCAGGAATCATTAATCAGTCTAGGTCAGCCTCTACTAGAATGACTGATCATGAAGGTGCAAGAGCAGAGGAAGGTACAAAATTTAGCTACCATATTTATTTACATTGCAGAAGATGTTAATTCCAAATCACATCTCCTTAATATTGTAAATTTATTGCTGTTTTAAAATGCTGAAGATCATCTTACATGATCTTTAGAGAAGGTGTTGGGCAAGCTCTTTGTGTAATTGTCTTAGGGATTTTGAAATTTTGGGCTTCTATGTTTTATGTTTTGTTTTTGTATTTAATGTTGGAGTTATTTCTATCAGGGATCAGTTCAGAGTACCTCTCAGAAATCTATCTTTAGCTTATAGATCTAGTAACAGGAAAATAGTTTTTAAAAAGACCTTAAAAGTACATATAGAAAAAGAACTATTTAGTAATCTAGTCATATTGTTTATATTTTAACAATTAATAATAACTACCATTAGGAGACAAATAAGTGCCAGACATTGTGCTTGGAACTTTACATATATATTATTTCTAAAATTATACATATGTAACAGTTGCCTAATGTAATCATTTTAGAATAAGGCAGCAGCATTATTCTTTAACTTGGTACCAAGTATGTAGTACTTGGTAATGAATTTTCTAAAATTGGCCTAAAGTAGAAATGCATAGGAAATGAAAGTACTACTTAGGTATTATTTGCAAAATTGATTTTAGCTGAAGATATGTAGATAAACTTGAGTAATTTATAATTCTAGATCCAGATATAATACTAAGTAATAAGACTGAATTCTTACCAAAGAATTTATTGTGATATGTGAGATACGTATATTATCTAATAATATAACATATAGATTGAATCACTGATGTTTCCGAATACATCTTGCTCTCTTTTAAGTGTTCTCTAATAGCACATTTTCCTTACAGCTATAAAATAATTTTGCTTTTTTTTCTCTTATAGTATCTCTGCATGCACTTACCACTTACCATAAACATAAGAAAATTTGAGGAAGGACAAATAAAATCACTACAATAATAAAACCAAAATAAAACATATTAAAGTATGAAAAGTAACAGAAGTAAAATAGTTGATTTTTATAGATCTTTTCTATTATTGAGCAATTTTTCTGTTTTGACAGGAAATATTTTATAAAATGCACATACCAACTCCGTTATTTTTCATTTTATGCATTTTAGTGGTGGGTTAGCTTCTTTAGTTTTGGTCTGTTTTACCAAATACAGAAAAAACTTGCTAAAATTTTGTAGTTAGGGTTATACATTTAAATTGCAGATTTTGCACTTAAAACAATTTAGAGCTCCGTATATGTACTTATGTGTATGTGTGCTTTTTAAAGAAAAAAATGTAAGTCAGTGATCTAATTCTTAGTGATGGTAGGAGGAGGAAATTGAGAGATAAATATAAACCTCATTATACTTTTCAAAGGGTAAATCTTAGAATTTATTTTAAAAGATTCAAATTCAGCTTTAAATTAGAGTTAAGGGAACATTAGAGTTCATAATCTCTTATTTTCAGTGGCAGCCTCCAACTTAATGCTTTCTTATTGAAGTTTATGTCATACCTTATTTTATTAAAAAAAAATGTCTTTTCAAAGAGAAACTTTGGCATTACAATCTTTCGGACTATTTTTAGTAAATAAGACATACATGTCGACACTAGCATAAATCGAATCAGTTATTGGGTGTGTTCTTTAGGTTTGATTAAATTGAAGAAGAAAGAGTTTGATATGTGAACTACAGATTTCCTTGGTCATTACTGTTAATAAAAAGGAGGATTAGTCATAAAAGTATGAGAAGGACCTTGTTGTAGGCTCCCATTTTATAGACTCTGAGATTTCCCTAAAAGGAAATGCTAATATGATAATAGTATTCTTAAATTCCTTGATGAAGTCTTTTAGGCTATTAAAAGTGTCATAAGTTCCATTATTAAAATCTGCTTTTAATAGTTTAATTTTTCTTTGAATTGTTAACGACATTTTTATGCTTATGTAATCTTGTGCTGTAAGTGATTATATTAATGTTAATAAAATGAATTTATAGAATACACATTAATTCCCCGTACAAGAAAACAAGGGCAAATAAATTTAGTATTTACTGTGATTACCACATGCCACAGTTGTGATGGGCGATTATGGAAATATAGCTTAAGAGATTTTTTTTCACATAGCTATATATGTAATAAATGCTGAGTGAGCAGCTTAGCTTGCTATATATAAGTAAATATGTGTGTATATATCAAAATAGAGAAATGTCATATGATTAATTAGAAATGAATATAATACAAACTTGTTTTAATACAGTTAATCTAAAACTATCTAATATTGCCCAAGCACTTCTCTTCACATGCCTCTCAATTGGTCAACAACTGATCAAAAGTATCTCTGCACAATGAATATGTAATACAAAATAATTTATTAAAGTTATTAGGCTTTTATTAAGATTTGTGTTAAGTGTTTGTGTAATTGTGAGTGGGCGGAATTGTGTCATTTGTTCTAACTTGCCTATAAACAAACTAAGATCTTAAAAAGATTTCCTTGTTCTGGCTAAAAATGCTTTGAGTAAATATCTAATGAATTTTATATAATTGTTTTTAAACATAATTGATTTTATCATTCTTAGCTGCTTCTGGTATTACTAATAACTACATACTAGATATTCTAGGGAGGATCAGTGCTACAGATTATTCAGATTTAATATAATCACTGAAAGATTATACCTAAAACTAATATAATATTGTATGTTAGCTATATTTTAATAAATTAAAAAAAAAAAAAGATTAAATACTACTGGTATCTCCAGGTATGTTTTCTATCATATTTGCTCTATATCAGTTGCTGACTCACAGCATCATTTTAGCAATATCATTTAGGACCTGATTTGAGTCAAATTTTGTAGCTTACTCTTTGATATTATACCTTACTTTGATAAGATATTCTAAATAAAGATGAATTTTACTTTTGCTGTAGTATATATCTAGGAGAAGTTAACTTGTATCTTAAAATTATTTTCAGTAGTAGTGAGGACTGACAAATATTATATATACTTATGTTTCTTCTAGTGTATTAAATTTATATCGTTATTCATAAGAATTTTTTACAATTGACAATTAGCTTGAGTTTTGTGTTTCCCTTTTAAATTTGCTCATAAATTTTAAACGTGTTTTCATATGTTGAGTTGTTTGTATTATGATGACTTGTGTACTTTCCCCTTGCATTTTAAGATTAAAATTTTGCTTTCGAAGCATGTTTGAAATGATATTGAGAATTACTGCTTATACTATAACTATTACAACAAAATATTAATATGTTATTATAGTTATTTTAATTATGGTAGTTTGATTTTAATTGTTTAAAATGTCAGATTTAATTTAAAGTTCTGTAGTTTTATAGGTTAATTACTTTTGAAGTATTATGGTAAATAAAAGGGAAGTTAAAAATCATGAAGCTTGAAGGCTAGAAGGCATTCTGAATATCACATGGATTAACCTTTTACAGAAGGGAAATTGACATTGTTGGTGGTAGAGCTGCCCTCTTTCTAGACCATTGTTGTTACTGGAGGAATCGGAGCAGTTTAAGCCTTGATGTCAGTAAACTGATACACTGTATTACAGACCAGAGACCATTTACATTTGAATGCTTATATTAATTTTTTTCAGAGACTAGAATACCCAGCACTTCTAAGCAAATATAATACAAAGCAAAAGGACTTAGCAACAACCTATAACATTTAAAAAATACTGTAGCTATAATTGTACCAAAGCGATAAGTGATATAAAAAGACAAAGCTTTTGTGCCTACCTTCCCACCCTAGATTAGTATATCTAGTACATTTGATTTGTGGAAGATTATGTTGCAATTTCTAAATATTTATTTTTTACTATTCATTTTTTTAAGTGAAAGAAATGAGGGACATGGGAAAATAAAAATTATATTACTGTATTATAACTGTTAAGTACTTACATTTCCCCCACAATATTGTCTTGTACTGTATGATTTTTCAGCATTTAAGAAGCGGTTTTGTTCTTTATAGCTGAACCAATAACGTTTCCATCTGGAGGAGGCAAGTCATTTATTATGGGTTCTGATGATGTTTTGTTAAGTGTACTGGGCCTTGGAGACCTTGCAGACTTGACGGTAACAAATGATGCAGACTATAGTTATGATGTAAGTGCAGTTTTATTTTTAATTTTTTAATGATTTAATAGAAGGCTCCTTATTTTTTGGAAACACTTATAAAACAGAATTAATGTTGAGGTGCATGGAAAAGAAGTTTAAGCGTGTCAGTATGTTGATTTGAAGTGACATGTAGGTTTTTTTTTATAATTACTTTTTTGTGGTATTTTAATTTTTCTTAGGTATTGTGGTTGATTAGGAGTTTAGGATGATTGATTACTTTAAAATATTGGTCAATAAATATCAGAGTAGTCAACTCTCAAGCCATATTTTGGTGTTAAGAGAAAAATAGAGAACCTTAATCACTTATTTACCTTCAGGATACTTCTTAAAAAGCACATTTTATTTTTGAACTTTTTTTTTTTTTTTTAAGGATAATATTAAATTTAGCTTGCCATTTCTTGAATACTTAATATAAAGTTTTAATGTACTTAGTCCTTCATTTAAGGGGTGGGGAGAGAATGGAGCAAAGATAGGAAGGACAGTGTTAGAGATGAAACTAGTCTTGAATTAAATTTTTTATAGACAATAAACATCCAATTGAGAGTTAACCATACTTGTTTAGATTTTGTATTACTGCATCTGCAGTTTTTCAGCAACCTAATTTTTTTAACAAATTCATTTTTTTTCTGCATTTTACACTTATGTTATTAGCATACTTTTGAGACATCAGCCATGGTGGGCTGAATTATTCTTATTAATATTTTTAAAGTACATAAGGAACGAAATTCTAGTAAACTTTTGACTACTTTGGAAGAGGTTTCACAGCCTATCTTTACAGATGGAGAAGAAGGTAAAAAGATTAACCTCTTATCAGTATCAACAATGCTAATGAAAATGGGATGAAAATATTCTTAGACTTTTAGAAAGTACCTTAACTTGCTGCCTTTAAAAAATTCACATGCTAATATTCTAAATGGCAATTTACTGTTCATATTGTATCCTTGGATTTTTGGTAGTAATTTATAATTTTTATTGTTTTCATGTAAAAGTACTGCAGCATGTTAGTTTTTTTATTCTCACTGACAGTTAATAAGACCTTTGGGTTTAGCCTGATGATTAGGTGAAACAGATTAAGGGGCTCTTCATTTGATTTATATATTTGAAAGCTAATGAATTATTCTTCTTAGTTCTTATTAAATGATAAAGATTTATTACAAAGTTTTAAGGTACATTAAATTTCTACTGGACATTTTAGCAAAGCAGTTTTAAATGTTTTAAACACACCAAAACAAAGAAACAAAAATTCCATATGCCTGTCAATTTACTACTTTTACTACTAAGTATTGTGCTCTTTCTTTTTAGTTGCCTGCCAATAAAGATACCTTTCGAAAGACATGGAACCCCAAGTATACACTACGTAGCCATTTTGATGGAGTACGGGCATTAGCTTTTCATCCTGTAGAACCTGTATTGGTTACTGCCTCTGAGGACCATACTCTGAAACTTTGGAACTTACAAAAAACAGTTCCTGCCAAAAAGTAAGTATTTTAATAGCTGTGTTTTTTTCCCTTCCAAATTTGTTATTAATTATAAGTAATTATTCTTCCTTAGTGGTTTCTGTATATTTTATGCACTTATATGAGCTTACCTAATGACTCTTGAATATCCGCCAGTGATTTTTTATTATTTAATTGCCTTCTCCTCCCCTACCCCTTTTCTCCCCTCTTTTAGGAGTGCCTCTTTAGATGTAGAGCCTATCTACACATTTAGGGCCCACATGTAAGTTTTACTGAATTAGTAGTTAATTAACAACCATAGTTATTCTTAACTATTATTTATCATTTCTTGAACCTTGTTATTTTCAAATAATGTTTGTTTTATATTAGAAAAGACAGTAATTGAATAATGTAATGTTTGATTATTAATTGTATTAATGAGAATATAATCAGTACTGTTCAGATGTACATGTTTACCTTAAGTAGTTTTTAGATACCACATAAATTCAGAGGTTGGGGGATGTGAATGTGAATTTCTTTTTAGGCTTTATAAGTAACTTTTCCCCCTCTATTTTTATTATAGTGGTCCTGTTCTGTCATTAGCTCTTAGTTCTAATGGAGAACAGTGTTTTAGTGGTGGTATTGATGCAACCATCCAGTGGTGGAATATGCCTAGCCCTAATGTGGATCCATATGATACATATGGTAAGTAAAAGACTCAAAAAAAATTTTTTTTTTTTTTTAAGTGAATGGAGCTGGCAGAAATACCGCAGATATTACTTAATAAAGTTGTTTAAACATGTATTGGTCTCCTCATTTCGGTCTTAAATGTACTAGTAATTTCCTTTATTAAAGAGAAAAATTAAATATGCCATGAATATTTAAGCCTGTGAATTGGTACTTTCTCTATGGTAATTTTATAGTGTCCCAAAATGAAACACTATATTAAAACATTAATTAATAAACAGTGGTCTACTTAATGATTGATTCATTTAAAAAGAATTCAAGCTCTTTGGTCTTTTTATTTAACACAAACTCAGTGCCTAAATTTGCCAGGTATAATATTAAGCACTACATCAAAAAATAACAGTTAGTCTAATGGAAAAGATAGACATTAAACAGATAAGCAAGGGGACGAAGTCTGCGGTTACAAATTGTGATAAGTGCTATGAATATAGCATTATGAGAGAGAGTAACAGGCAGAACTTTCTTTAAATGTAGTCTAAAATAGTGACGTTCAGGCCAAAATCTAAAGGTTAAAGAGAAATTTTAGCAAATGGTCCCTCCTTATCTGCAGTTTCGCTTTCCGAGGTCAATCGTAGTTCAAACATATTAAATGGAAAATTCCAAAAATACACATAAGTTTTACAGTTGCCATGCCATTCTTAGTAGTATGATGAAATTGAGTACCATCTCTCTCTATCCCGCCCAGGAAATGAATCATCCTTTGTCCAGTGTATCCATGCTTTATACACTACCTGCCCCTTAGTCACTTAGTATCCATCTTGGTTATCAGATCCATTATCACGGTGTGACCGTGCTTGTGTTCCAGTAACCCTTATTTTACTTAAGAACAGCCCCAAAACACAAGGGTGTTATGCTGGCAATTTGCATATGCCAGAGAGAAGCCATAAAATGCATTTCCTTTAAGTGAAAAGGTGGAAGTTCTCGACAGGAAAGAAAAAATATATTTATGCTGAGGTCACTAAGATCAGTAGTAAGAACATATCTTCTGTCCATGAAATTGTGAAGAAAGGAAAAGAAAGTTGTGGTAGTTTGCTTAGAGGGGTTGTAGAAACAGACCACATTCACGTAACTTTTATTATATTGTTATAATTGTTCTATATTAGTTGTTAATCTCTTACCGTGCGTAATTTATAAATAAAACTTTATCATTTGTATGTATGTATAGGATAAAACGGAGTAGTATATACAGGGTTTGGTACTATTTGTAGTTTCATACATCCACTGGGTGTCTTGGAATGTTTCCCTTGTGGATAAGGGGGGAACTACTGTAAAGAGCTTTATGCCGGGAAGTGACCTGTAAATGTAGAGTTTCAAAAGGTTACTGGTTGTTGCAAGGACTTGAGGGGAGAGTGGAGAGAGGAATATCAGTATAATATTGTACTGTAAAGTTGTAATGGAGTGGGTCCAGTAGACAAGGTGAGAGGCAATGCCAAGATTAGTGTGGTAGTAAAGCAGTTGGTAGCAGAGCAGTTGGAGAGAAGTGGATTTGAGACATATTGGGAAATAGGGTAGAATAGACACAATCTTTTGATAAATGGATTGAGGGAGTAAAGTAATGGATGAGTGACTCTGATTTTGTTAGGTTTTTTTAACAGCTTACTGTATTGGCAGGATTGTGCAACTATTAACACCATCTAATTCAGAACATTTTCATCACCTTTTGACACAACAGTTGCATCTGTGATGATAACATTTATTGAAATGGGGGCAGAAAAGGGATGAGAAGATAAAAGATGATGAGTTTGGTTTTTAGGCATGTTAAGAATTGGTACTATCAAGTAGGTAATATCAATATGAAGATGCGAGAATGGATAGTATAACACCGAGAGAGTGTGTTTTATAGGGTAAGAAGAGAAGGAACTCTGACATTAGGAGAGTGGCTAGAATAAGAGAGCCAACAAAGGAAACTAAGAAAAAACTGGCGTTGAGGTTGGAGGAAGTACAGCAGAGTTGGGAATTATGGGAACATACCCAAAGGAAGAAACCATTTCGAGAAGGAAGCAATCTGCACTTTGAAATGTTGCAGAGAGATCTAATTAGATTACAGTGAGGATAGAAAGGTTCTTTTTTATAAGTGACAAATACGTCACCTGGATTTTGGCCAGACGGAATGAAGTTGGATGTTGGGGCTAAAACCAGAAAGTGAAGGGAACTCTGGGTAACCTTTCAAGGCACACTCCTTGGAGGAAAAGCAACGTGAAGACAACAGCAAAGAAAGAAATCGAAGAAATAATTTTATTAAGTTCGGTAGAATAGAGTTCATCATTTGGGGTGATTTTAGCAAGGGTTGTTTTGGCGTGGTGTTGGTATTAGAGTGATTTAGTGTAAGGATAATGAAGGTTTTTTGTTTAGGTTCAGAGATGCTGGAGCTTATTTGTTTGCTTGTGGATCCCAAGGAGGATGAGGAGGATTTGTTTAGTAGAGAAGTAGTAAACATGAAAGCAAGTTAGTGAGTTGAATGGAATCCAAAATATACCTCGTAGAATTAGTCTTCAATAGGAAGGACAATTCCTTACTTACATCTGGAAGCATGGAGAAAATGGTGTTATAATGACACCAACAGGTTGGGAGGCAGGAAGATGGGGAGAGCTTCCTTTTTCAATGCTATATTTTCTTAGTGAAGTATCAGAGAGAATCATTTATGAGGAAGGGTAGTTGGCAACTGTGAGGATTGGTGGAGATGTTGGGAAATATCTGGAGATTTTAAGAAATACCCATGGAAAGTGGGAGTTTACTAGAGAAACAGGGTTGTAGAACAAATGATGCACAATGTTATTAGCCACCATTCCATCAGATGAATAGATAAGTAAAATGTAGTATGTCCATACAATGAATATTATTTGACAATTAAAAGAAATTAAGTGCTGATACATGGGTGAACTTTGGAAATATTGTGCTAAGTGAAAGAAGGCAATCACAAATAGCCATTTGTATAAAATGTCCAGACTAGGCAGATTTGTAGAAACAAAATAGATTAGTGGTTGTCTAGGGCTGCAGAAAGGCAGGGAGGAAGAATTAGGGGGGTGGGGGGATAGCTAATGAATGATGAAAGTGACCTAAAATTGGTGTGGCAATGATAGCACAACTCTGAACATACTAAAAAACATTGACTTGTACAGTTTAAATTGGTGAGTTACATGGTATGGGAATTTTTAGCTCAATAAAGTTTGTTTTTAAAAAGTATATGTTTCTTACAGAAAATGTAAAAATGCAGGAATGTATTGGGGGAGGGATTAAAAATAACCTGTAACTTCACAACTTAGAAGAGATGGCCATTGTATACACTTTGGTCTTTTTATAGCTGGTATGTGTAGTCTTATACTTAATTATATGATAAGTTCTCTTTATATACCAGAGTATTTCTTTTAAACTTCTAGTAGCTAATTTTTGTTTTTGTTTTTGTTCTTTCTTCCCAGAGCCAAACGTTCTAGCTGGCACTTTAGTTGCTCATACAGATGCTGTCTGGGGACTTGCTTATAGTGGCATAAAAAACCAATTACTGTCTTGTTCAGCAGATGGCACTGTTAGGTTATGGAATCCACAAGAAAAATTGCCATGTATTTGCACTTACAATGGAGACAAAGGTAAGTAAGTTTTGCCTCTATTAAAAAACGGTGTGTGGGGGGCGGTTTGCAAGCCAAAAAGTACAGAACAATAATTTACTATTTCTTTGCTGTTTCAAGAGATATATTGAAAGAATTTTATAAAGCTTATGATAATTTTACTTTGTCACTTTTTTATACATAAAAAAGATGCTTTGCAAGTATGTCCTGTTGCTTAGTGTTTTCTTACTTTTTTCAGGACATGTCCTATTATAAAATATTAAACTATTTGTATATAACAGTGGAGTAGACAAATGAGGCTACTCAGACATGCGACCCTCTGCCTGCTCCAGGTGGCTGCCCACTGAGACTAAAGGGATCACAAAGTGTATCTTCTTAATTTTGTTGGGTCTCAAGCATTCTTGCAAACCATATAGGAGCATAGTGGTTGCGCAGTCTAGCCATAGTCACTGAAACAGCACCCTTAACTGGGAAGTACAAACTGAGTTACCTGCATGATTTAAAATCTTTTCCTGTCAAAGAAGCTTTTAACCAATTTACCTTGTAATGACATTTATGTAGATACATGTATTTATGTACTTGTGTTGGTCTTATGTTCCAAGTCAGTTTTTAATATTAGTTTTAAAAATCTGACCTTTTATTTTTATTAAAAAGTATATTTTGTTTTAAAACATTTTAGATGAATAGTGTATATGCTTAATTTTATTGGGTCTCTTAGATAGATACCTTAGTGATTCTACTACTTTTTCAGTTACCCAAGCTTTTGAGGTAAAAATTCGTTTAGATATTTGTTTCTAGCTTCACCCAGGTAATTAACTGCTTGACTCCAGATTTCACTTAGTTGTGCATTGATCTGGCCAATTGAATTTATTATGTTAAAAAGAGAAATTGTTGCTCAGGCTACTGTAGGATAGTACTGCATCAGTGGATTCCAGACTCCAAGCTTCATTTTTTCAGATCTGAAAATTCAACTTGTATTAGCTACTTAAGGCTTATAGGTCTCAGACAAGTGAACAGTGTCCCAAGACAGTGATGTGAGATTGCTAATTTATTATCTAATGATGTAATTGGCAAGTGAACCAGAAAACTCATCCAGGATTTTTTTCCCCTCTCTTAGAAGAAAATGCATAGAACAAATAACCTTTACACATCTACTCTCACTTTAAGAGCTCTCTAGCTATATATTTTTTATAATGTTAAATAGGATGTTATAAACTCTTTTTAAATAATTGAGAGTTACCTGTTATAGCTCACCATCCTATCACAATTGCTTTCTTTTTCATTATTAACATTATTTCAAGAATATTTGAATTTCTTTTTCTTATAAAAAAAACCCAGAGATTTCCGAATTGTATTTACACTGTATCTTTTTGGGGTCCTTTCAGAGCATGGAATACCTACATCGGTTGACTTTATAGGCTGTGATCCAGCTCATATGGTGTCCTCTTTCAACACTGGTAATACAGTAATTTATGATTTAGAAACATCACAGTCATTGGTGATGTTTTCATCACAAATAGATTCTGGTAAGTTTTCAGACTATTTGAATTTAGGATGGAAGAAGTTTCGATGTGTTATAGTTGTACTTATTTACATTATTTCTGCTATTTCTTTAAATTATGCTTAAAAGCATGGGTGGGTATATGGGGACAGAGGAGTGCGTAGAGTTATGTAAAGGTGAAAGCAAGGGAAATAATTTTAAATTTTTAATGGAAATACATATGAAAGTAGAGAAAATAATATAATGAACCCGATGAACTCATCATCTTGCTTCTATAATTATGTATAAATAGCCAGTGTTATAAGTCTAGGCTGTCGTATGTGTTTTACAATTTATTTAAATAGGAATCCAAATAAGGCCTGTGCATTGTGATTGGCTGTAGGCCTTTCAGGTCTCTCTTCAGCTGTAGGTTCCACCTCCATCTCTTTTATTTCCCTTGCATTTTTCTATTTAAGAAATTAGGTAGTTCGTCCTTTCATGTTTCCCACAGTCTCGATTTTGCCAGTTGGATCCTTGGGGTATCGTTTAATGTGCTCCTCTGTTCATTTTACTTCCTATAAATTGGTTATAGCTCCAGAGGCTTATTCAAATTCAGGTTTAATGTTTTTGATTGTCTTCACTTTAAAGTTTTTACATGTTTTTGGCTAGACTACTAATAGTAATTTGTGAACTTTTGTCAGAAGTAAATATTGTCTGGTTGGTTGTTTATCTTATGTTTTCAGTCTTGATCATTATCACGGTCCGTTAATTCATTAACTATTGAAAAATGGTTTTCTGATTCTATCATTACTTCTCCATTTATTTGCTAGAATACTTCTATTAAAAGGACCACCCCTCATCAATAATTTGGTTACTCTGGAGTTAGAGATTATAAAAGAAAAGCAAGATAAATTGTTGATTTTCCCCCCCTTTACTTACCAGTTTTCAAAATAATAATGGGGTGGTTCCCTAGCATCCTTCAAAGGTGACCAGCGAGTCTTTTGCATGTTGTTTATTTTTATTATAATCTTTCTTGAAAATAAATGTATTTGATGTGATTGAATCCATTGCAAGTATTATCATTATTGCTATTCAGATTGTTTAATCTTTGACCAGTGGGAGCTTATTCAAGTTGGCTCCAGAATTTAATGACCCTGTCGTCATTGATAGTTTTCTTACTTTCCAATTTGACAAGATGTTCTAGATTCATCTTGTTCATTTTGTGCCCCATATCTGAAATCAGCCATTTCTCTAAGGAGCCATGGTTTCTTTTATTGGAAAGTGACATTTAGAGACTACAGTCTAGGTGTTAGGTGATTGGGTTGGTGCTCTTGAGTTGGTCATTGGTTTAGGCCTTTTTAGTGGACAGAGCTACAAACACATTTTTTAAAAAAGGAAAATACTGATAAATTCATACAGATACTTCAATTCAAATTCAGATGTATCCCATTGATTTGATGTGTTTACCTTATTTTAACCATACCAAAATTCCTGGCTCTCAGCAAGATCATCATAATTTATTTATCTCAGTACACATATAGTCATCTCAGAATAATAATACCAAAACCACCACCAATAGTTTGATTTCTGTTAATATTTTGTACTTAGGGTATATTCTACTAGGGATGGGCAGCTGAATTACTGTCCTTTAAAGTCACTTGAAATAAGTCATTTATTTGTGCTTTACCAATTAATTGGATATATAGTTAAATTCATTTGTTTAATTTTACTTTTGATTTTTCATGATTACTTTTAAAAATCATTTTATAATTATGTAAAACATTTAAATGGTTCCATGATCAAGTCTCTCAAACCAAATTACACTCAAAATATCTTTTCCAGTGTCTTTTCAACCCTAGTTCCTTTCTCCCTCTTAAACATAGGTAATTATGCGTGCGCATGCACACACGGGGTTTTCTTGGTGATGTGTTTAAGAGTTTATGTATACATGTGGAATGATTGTTTTACATAAAGTCTGGTAACGTTGATAACGTTTTCCCATTTATTTTGATTCTTCTCTGTTCTCCCTCATCTCTAGTCAAAAATTAGGAGCTTAGTAAAGAAAAGGTCTCATTCTTAAGAACATTAGTTTTAGTTCTTTGCATGTTTTTTGTCAGTGTGGGTAGGATGGTGATTGTACCTTGCAAACATCTAATTATCCTTATGAATTTTCATTAAATGCTTATAATTCTTTTATGAGCTGGTTATTAAAAGTAATAATTACTGTAGGTATTTTAAAAATTCTAAACCACCTATATAGTCTGCTTTAAAATACTTATAATTTTTTCTAAACTTGAGCCTAGTACTGTCCATATAATAGGACATGATAGCTTAAACATTTATTTTTTAAGAAATTGTATCTCTCTACAGCCCTAGTTTTAGTTCTCAGGTTTTTTTGTTTTATACAAATGCTTTGATTTTTATTTTTTGGTTAAAAAAAAGTCATCATCCAGCTTCTAATTGAAGGTTTGAATTTTAGTACATTATCTCCCTTTATTTTTTAGATTTACAATCCAGTAATCACATTAACAGAGTAGTAAGTCACCCCACACTTCCTGTTACAATAACTGCTCATGAAGATAGACACATCAAATTTTTTGACAATAAAACGGGTAAGTAGATTGTCTTATTTTCTTTTCAGTCATATTAATCTGTAAATTTGAGACAATCAAAAATGCTGTTCTTTTATATAAAATACTGACTTTTCAGCTTTAAAATTACCAAGTTAAACTATTTTTGCTCAAATTTTTGCTTCAATTAATGTAGCACACTTAAAAGATACGTTAAGTTTTATTCTTAAGTGTGTGTGCGTGTATGTATATATATATTATAATTATGTAAAATTATACCTCGCCTACCTGTTACAATTTCTTCATGTCATGGTATTTAAATAACTATACTTTGATTTGAAATTTTTTCCTTTATATTCTATTGTGAATTAGTATAGCAGAAGAGGTGTCTTTCTGGTATTTGACATTTTAGATGTTTTAAAATTATTTCTCAGTAGATGAAATGATGATATAGTGGAAATTGGTTTATTTTTATCTTTCCTATATTTATTGCTGTCAGGAAACTTACCAGTTATATATAGAAGTCAACTCAAATCTTAATTTGGCCATAGGGTTGTTTCTTTAAGGACCCCTGTTTCATCTGTCATTACCTAGAATACAACATAAGATATTGTTTTTGCTCCTTCAGGAAACGTCTGACCGCTAGAGAGGCTTCTTTGAGCAGAAGCTTAAACAGGAGTATTGAAAGACTACCAAATAAGAAACCTAAATGTTAATTGCAACATTATTGCAGGGAACAAATTATCAAGCAAACAGCAAATCAGAACTACAGATTTCTCTTTGAAGGCTATATAGGGCATAGTCATAATTTTTATTCTTTAGAGTCTTACATAAATCCCTTTGTTCAGATAACACTTTCATGGACAGATTCCTTTTAACTCAGAACAGTTAAGAATGGATATTCACAGGTCTATATTTTGCATAGGAAAGACGATTTATATTCATGCGAATGTTCTCAATTTAACACCTTATCAAATCAGTTCTTTGAAAATTCTTATGAAGCCTGAAGATCTTCATCTCTGCTGCAAGAGCAGAAAGATAATTTCCTTTATTTCCAAAAAGAGTCCTTTTAATTATTGAAGATTTACATTTGTATGGGAAGGTTCAGGAATTTTAGTAGTTGTATTAAAAGCAAAAAGTTGAGTCTTTCAGAACTGTTTTACTAGCAGAAATGAAGAAAAAGTGGTAATGAAATTTTACTTAGTAACAAAGAGCCTTTGTCTTTCAAATTATTTATAAATTCTACCAATTTATTCTGTTACCTAATCTAGTACCTCATCTTTAGTATGAAGATAATTGAAGCAATAAGCTCTAAACAATAGAAAAATCCTTTCTAAATCAACCCCTCTCACTCTCTCACACACATTGAGTTAAACTGGAAATTGTGTTCTTATGTACTGTTTTTAAAGAAATCCTTCTTTAAAAATTGGTAATTTATTTAAATGTTATAAACTAGAATATCCCCATAACTGGTATTTGCTGGTTAGCTAAATTGTTACTTGAATATCATTCTGTCAAATAAATTAGTAAATTTGTTGAATTTTTTTATCCGAAACATTATAGAAATCAATACTATGAATGGGTTCAATAAACATTTAGATATTAACAGAAATGTATTAGCATTTTGTATTCTGCACTGGCTGCTATCATGTATAAGATGTGGTTTCTGCTTTCTGGGGACTTAACTGTTGTCTGGGAAAAAGAGGAGGTGTATTTGTGTGTATGTGTGTGCATGCACTCATGCAAAGATGAAGTAAGATGAGCTCTGCTAAATAAAGGAGTCTTTACAGAAAGAGCCCTTGAAAGAATGGTAAGATATTTTTTAAGTGAAGCGGGTAGAAGGAAATTTCAGATAAGGGCATATTTTGATCAGAGGCATGGTGGTAAGGAACTTGGCTGACACAGAAGTTTTTTTATAGGCAAAGCCAAAGAGGTAAGCCCAAGAAAAGGGAAACCAAATCTATTGAGAAAAACTTTTCGGAGCCAGGCTAAGAATAATAATTTTTGTTCATGGTATGCACTTTGTTTTAAGACATGTTAAATTTAGGACATACAGGATGAAAATTCAAAATTAAGAGTTACTATTACAGATTTGACATTTTTAGCGAAGCTAATTAATGATACTTGTTACTTAACCCCTAGTGTTTTGAGATTATTGTCCTGGAGGACAACCATTTCATACTCTGGATTTTTTTTTTTTTTTAATAGGAATACTGAGAGGAATGGATTCTAGAACTGATAGATGAATTATGTTGGAGTAAGCAATTAAAGTTAGAATGTTGAATGATTTTTCTGTTCTCAAGGATAGCAGAGAAGAATCTCAAAGTATTCTGTTAATCAGACAAATACGGTTTGAAATGATGAGAAAGTTTAATTTTGTAAGTGGTTAGTATTATCAGAAATTGATAGGACTTTTTATGTTTTTTTGGAGAAACTTTTTGCACTCTTTATTATTATGTTGCACTTTTGTATACAAGTTTAAACAGCTGTAGCCTCCATGGCAAATAACAAAAGTACATCTATTTCCTGTTCCAGTGTAGAGTGTCATCAGGGACCAGAAAGCAAAATGCTTGCAACTAGAATTCTGTAGAAAGCTTCAGTCTCTCATTAGGAGCAGCCCAGCCATTTGAGTTGCTGAATGAAAGGGGAGGAAATTTTTTAAAGTACCACTATTTGCTATTTTATTCCCTTCTTGGATTAATCACTTTGTTGTTGCTTTCTGTCCATCATCAAAAGCATATATTGCCAGTGCAGAGGCTGATGCCTTTGCCCCAAAGTGTTTAAGTTTACAACTTTTAAATTTTAACTTGCTCTTGAATCCCTTTTTGCTTGCCAAATCTAAGATAGCATCTTCCTATTTTCATTTTAATTTGAGTTTACATGATCTTAAGCCCCTGATGCAACCTTATAGTCATTAAGTTTTCCACTATCAGATACTGTCAAGTTCATGTCATATGGATGTCTTTTTAAAAAAGTAACTGGGAATGTTCTGCAGTAAAATTAAAATTCTCTTTAAAAGTAGTCGAATCTTGTAAGCATTATTCTAAATGACAGAAGGCAGACACACAGAGCCACAAGTTTTATGATTTTATTTGTATGAAACATCCAGAATAGGCAACTCATAGAGACAAAAAAGCAGATTAATGGTTACCAGGGATTGAGGGAGGGGAAAAGTGAAGAGTGACTACTTAATGGGTGCAGAGTTCATGAAAATGTTTTGAACTAGATAATGGTGATGGTTGCACATCATTGCGAATGTTCTGAAAGCCACTGAATTGTGCCCTCTCAAATGGTTAAAATGGTAACTTTTATGTTAGGTATATTTTACCACAATAAAAAAAATTTGCTATAGTAATTATCTCTTTTATATTGATGCTGTTTTATAGTGTCTGATCTCTCAATTTAGTAACTATTTGAAGACTTAATTTCTGTTATGTTTTATTTAGGTAAAATGATCCATTCTATGGTAGCTCATTTGGATGCTGTTACAAGTCTAGCAGTAGATCCTAATGGAATCTATTTGATGTCTGGAAGTAAGTCTGAATGAACTTCCTATACTGCCCACAAATTTTATAAAAGACTTGATACTCGGTAACACTTTGTTCTTTTACAGGCCATGACTGTTCTATTAGATTGTGGAATTTGGACAGCAAGACGTGTGTGCAAGAAATAACAGCACATAGGAAGAAATTAGATGAATCAATTTATGACGTTGCTTTCCATCCATCAAAAGCATATATTGCCAGTGCAGGGGCCGATGCCCTTGCCAAAGTATTTGTGTGAATCAAAGAAAACTCACATCATAACTACAGATTTTCTTGGACAGGAAGAGGGTCTGCATCACTGCCATCAAAAAAGGTTACTGATATGACACTACATGTGATCTGCCTGGTGAAGGTTATTTAGGGCAGGCATAAATTGGTGGAAATCACATCTTAATGTCAGGCTCATTAATTTAATTGTAATTACTGTATTTTGTGGGACAAAAAAAGGACTCCACTATTTGTGGCCTGTACTGGATATGAACTGAGCATATTTCTGTTTTTTATGTATCTTTAAGCCAGTGTGGAGTCTGATCTTACAAAAGGACTTTTATTTTGGACTCTGTGTGCTGCCTTAGGGTTAGGAATGTGGTGCTCTTGTTGGGGGGAAGTGAGCTCCAAGAGTAGTTTTTTTCATCTCTTAGTGATGTTCTGTTTATCAGTTGAATGCCACAGATTCCCTTTTAAACTTATTTTGCTTTAAAAGAAAAAAGGAAAATTTAACTTAAAATATTTTAGCATTAGTTGCACAAAATGTTTGGATAAAATTCTAGTTTTTATAAGTCTTTTTATATATTTAGCCTGTCACAACAGTGCTCAAGATTGTATTGAAGTTTTTCTGCTCTTTCCTTCTTTTGCCTAATACAGCTCAGCTAAGTCCTCCATAAGATGCTAAATCACCTTCATCATCACATAATTGTCTTCATAAACCAAGGATTATTAAGTGTATTAAAATGAAACGGTGGGGTTTAGTACTCCAAATGAACTCTTAAAAAAATTTAAAAACCCTAATCTTGGCATTCTATCACTATGTGATATTTTGTACATCTTACTGTATTTACAAGTTTATTTATCAAGGATTATCCATCTTGCTAATAGCCTATTATTTATTTCACTTTTTGTTGGTCTTTATATCCTTTTATTAATGTGCTAAAGGAACCTGTATATCTATTTTGGAACTCTTTGGATAGTCTAAAATAGACTAAAAATGGAATATTTTATAGTTTAAGTTACATACCGAGGTGATTCCCCCCAGATACATATCTTGATTTACCATGATTCCAAACAAAACTATCTTGTTTAAAAATATTTGGAGTAAATTTTTATTTGCATTACAAATAGGATACAAAAATTACTGAATCAGGATACAGAAATTTGCTGTGTTTGGACTAGTTATCCCTGTTTTATTTTTTCAGATGTGCTTAATTTTATGGTGTAACTAAAGATTTTGTTTGTGTAATGCATGATTAAGACAATAAAATATTTTTTCTAGTCTTCCAAAAATCTTTTCTGATCAGTTTGCGAGTTTCGATGAGTTTTGTAAGGTTTTTGTTTTACAAACTATGAATCAGCAAATTTTTAAGATTGTACCACATAGCAAACGTACAGCTGTTGCAAAATAATGTATATAAAATGCATATAATAAATATTAAATTGTGTACCTGTATGTTACTGTTGGCTACATTATTTTGTGTTGAATAATTAAGTGCAATACTTTACTCTCCATTATTAAACTAGGAAATGGAGATGATTTCTCAGTGAGTCCTTCATTTTTATGCTTTTCTTTTAAACTTTGTACTGCTCATTGATATTCTAATAAGATTAGAACAATTAACACTATTAAGAATGCCTTTCTAAGTATTTCATCCCATTTGGGGATAAAAAAATCTGTTGAAATAAGTTAGATAATTCAGAATAAAAAAACCCAGAAATGCAGTTTTAAGTCATTTCTTTATCCTATTTTTTAAATCTATTTCAGTTAGTAGTGTTGTCATTCTTATTTAGCCATATGTGTTTTCACCAAAAAGATCAGAGAATAAACTGCGTTGTCATTAATTAAAAGTTGTCTTTAAAAATAATGTTAAGAATTAGTAACTCGAAACTTTTCCTTCACAAAGGTAAAACCTTTTATCTTTGAAGAAAATTGCAAATGGAATTAGATGGTAATATAAGAAAAATTGTGGTAAAATTCTATTTGAATGCCTACTGCAAAAATATTACATTGTGTATTGAGAAATTTTGTCATCTTGCATAAAAATCCAAGTGGCAGTTTTAGTCATTGCTGGTGAAACACTAAGACTTTTCAGAAATTTTCTTAAAATAGTTTTTTGGATTTCTGAAGATTCAACTTAATGAACAAATTAAAAGGGCACTTTTTCTTTCTTTTTATTTATTTATTTATTTTTCGTAATTTAAGGACAAGCTTTTCCAAAGCTACTAGTATTTCTGGCAGCTGTTCTAAACCAATGCATTACTGTTTAACTGAAATGTGATTATCATCATTGCAATGCATAAACATTCACCTCTTTGGAATGTATTAAAACTGAAATGAATAAAAATTAGTATATATGTTTATTTTTCTCTTATCTATTTTGTATTTTTCTTCACAATATATTAAACATTTGGAAAAAACTGAAAAGATACAAAAATAATGTCATTTTCATTTTATTTGCTTCCATTTGTGACGGGAAATTAGATTTATTTGATTATTAAATGGTACTTCATAAAGTTTAATTATATTTTTATATCCAAATTTAGTATATTGGCTTTCAATATTTAATCATACTCTGCCTTTTTCTTTTTTTATTCATGTACTTTCCTCATTTAATGCATTGTTATAAATGGGCTAGTACATTTGAAATTTAAGTGTGCCTACAAAAGTTGGATTATAATACATCTTTTTAAAAATCCTTTTACTCTACTTTTTAGCTGTTACCTCTTTATCTTATGTTTACTTATAAAAATAGCTGGTAATAATGAAGTGCTCATTTCTGCTCTCTTACTGCTCAAAGTATTACCTTCCTTGGTTACCTCAGATGCCTCAAAACTTTGTCCTTTAAAGAATTAAAAACATTTTCAAAAGGACTGTTGATTACAGAGGTTGGGATTTTCACTTAAGTTTAAATTTTTAAGGAGTAGTACTCTTAGCTGAGAATTTGTCTGTTTATTGGGGGAAAATCATGTTAAACACATTTTAGTTGTTTTTATGAAAATTCTTGTTACATGAATTCATATTTGTCACTTTTTATAAGGGAGGGGTGGTTTATTATCTTCCCATACTGTTTTATCAAATTTTTAGTGTCAGGCAATTTCACTTATGATTCTCTGATACATAGTTCTTTCATTCCTTCTACACAGACTATTAAATTGTTAGACTCAAAAGATTTACTGGAGTATATATATTCCAACCAGTTAATACCATTTTCACATCAACTGGTTGTAAACTATTCAGATAGGATCAGTGAATGTTGCTGGGAGACAGGGTATGTATGTGGTTGAGGGAGAGGACAGGGCCTGTATAGGTAGGATGGGATGACAGCACCTCTATCTGAGAGGACTTTTTGGCGAGGTAATGATAATTACATTAATGGATTTCTGATGACTTAGGAACCAATTTCACAAGTATGTTTAAAAATGTTAACTATAAAACTTTTTTTTTTAACCAAGTAACCTAAAAGTATCTCATACTGTTTAACCTGGTAGTGGCTGTGTATAATGCCTGGAGCGGTAGGCTTTCAATAAATGAATCAAAGAAAAAATATAGTCTTACTGCATGATTTAAGAAAAAAATCAAATTGGTTTTTCTGCATGAATTAGTGAATACAGAATTTTTATCATGCCCTAGGGAGAGAGATACTTGGAAAAATAAAAGGTAGCTTAGAATAATAGTCACTAGAAGTTTTATCGTTTAAATAGTCAAACTATAATATTTTTCTGCAGTTCTGCTATTTGAAATATGTACTAAATGTTTATAAGTGGTAAGTAAAAATTTACCAACTTAGCATTTTTTTTTTCAGTACATAGAAGACTTTTAAAGTACAAGCCAAATACATCTATACATATAAAAGGTAAGGATATAAATAGAAAAATACCAGACAATCCCATCTTGTTCAGTGTGATATTTCAGTTATGTTATGAAAAGTCTACAAAATCAGCTTGATACCAAATTCCCTTCCATTGCATCCATAATTATAACTTTTTAGTATACTAAATATCTTTGTTGATTGGTTTAAGACAATATCAACTTGGGTCAAGATATTTATATTTGAACTAAAGAGTTGTTTTCTACTTAAGTTTCTCTTTCATTTTCCTTATATAATACAGAATGATTAGAGAAGGAATCTTGCTTTTGGTCTAAGTATTAGATTCTTTTATTGAGTTATGCAACCTGCATATCTATGCATTTAATAAGCATATTAGAATACAACTCTTAAGATTTTAATCCAGGATCGTTTTTCCTGAGTCTCTAAGGGTCATAATCATGAAGCCTCAGCAGAGTGTTGAACAATTAAGTCTAAATTGTAATTGGAAGGTAGTAGCTTCAAATGAAAGCTTATTTGCTTAAAACAGCTGTTGCCATCTTTAATAGTTTTGTATATGATCCTAGTATGTGCTATAGTATTTCAATATTAGGAGAATAAACTTATACATTATATCCCCTTGCATTTTCTTTTAGTTGTCAAAAAATATCACCATTATTGCTGGGATTCTAAGAAATCTCTACAAATGCCTCTAATGACATCGGAAACAATTGGTTCTAATCCTGTGAACTCTCTTGTGAAGAAAGCATGTGACTCCTTTGGTTTTGAGGCCATATCTTTCAGGTCATCCAGAGGGGCCCAAGCCACACCAACAGAGAAGATGGTGATACCTACAATGGAAATATTTTTAAGTGAATTAAAACCAAGTCCAGCTTACATAAAAATCATATGTATATATTTTTCATACATTAGTACATGGTTGTAGAGAAAACTGCTTAGTAATTTCTGAGGAACTAAATTCTCTCCACCAAATTGTTAGGTAAGTTTTAACAGGAGAATGGTTAAACAGTTTGGTTAAAACCAGAAGCTTTGCCACCAGTGTTATTTCCCACATTAAGTTCAGTATCCATTTGTGATACAACACAGTAAGCAAGAAATAAAAGGAAACTTTCTTAACCCGATAATATCTTTTTTAAAAACCCCACAGCAAACAATGAAATGGTGAAAACTTTCCCTTTGAGACTGGCATGAGACGGTACTGCCTGCTATCATCAAATAATGGTTATACTGGACTTAAGCCATTGCAAGAGAAAAAGAATGGCACAAAAGATGGAATACACAAATGGTAAAAGTTTTCTAAGGCTGCATCGTCTGCGATAATGGTGACCAGTCTTCTGTGAATAACTTTCTTCCATTTCAGTCTATATGTTACATTGGCAAACTGACCAATAGTTAGAACTTATCTGTAATCCCAAAGCAAAAATCTGGTGATAAAAACAGCTAAAGAAAAATGTGAAGCTGGAATTTTTTCCAGTTACATGGAGACATTTCATCTGCATTCCCCTGAGCTACTAGAAGGCTTTTACTCCAACTATGTTTTGGTCAGGGTGACACTGCATTAGTTTGATTCATCTCAGTCCCAGTTGTAAAAGGTGGTTTAGCAGATTCTATATGCTACCTTCTACCTTCTGGGTAGAAGGTAGCATATAGAAATTCCCCATAGCATTTTGAGAGTTTCTGAAATAGTGACTCCCCTCCTCTCCAAAAGTCTTCATCCCCTTTTTAGTGGAATATAGTGCTTAGTGTTGTGAACTGAATGCTTAAGATATAAATAAGGCAGGTTTAGATGACATAAAAGCTACTTGAAACCATTTCCACCAGCCAATCCCTCTCCCTGGCAAGAGAAAAATTTTTTCCTTTTAGTTTTCCTTGCTTTTAATTCTGCATTCAAACTGAAATTGTTTAACTCAGGCCCAGTATGTAATTACTGTTTTAAAAAATAAGGTTCTGACCTAGCCCTGAAAACCTACTTCCTGGCTTTTTACTTCACTATCACTAATTTTCATGAAAATAATGTGGTTCAACCTCCTGAATTTCAATTAATCACATGGGGAAGTTATATGTGAATTCACTTTAGCCTGAATCCAATCCTGTTAACTATAACTTAATTCAGTAAGCTACGTTTTTCAGGGGCATGAGAGCAAACAGGTCTTCAGCATAGGTTAGTGCTGCTGTATAAAATAAGCCATGTCTAAAAATAAGCCATTATAGCACACTGCATGTATCATTGTTAAAAACGATGCCAGCAATATTTATGAAAGTACATAAATGCATTAACAGGTGCTAATTTACAAAAGGGGAAAGGTTAAGTCATTAGGAATTGAGAAAAGGAAGTGCAGAAGATAGGAAAATGGAAGGCTGTTAATCCCCCTTCCCAAGTTAGCATTTTTGTTTTTTCAGTATTACGGAACACTAATCACTCAGTTTTATCTTGGCCTATTGGATCTCAGCAATACATCATGCTAATGGCTTCAGGAACTAATGGCCTTTGCTAAAAGTAAGATAAGATTAAGATTAGAGTAAGGGAAAAAATCTTTTTATACCCTTTTATAATATCAGAGTGTTTTTATTATCTCAAGAAAAAAAGACTGAAAAGGAAGTTTAGATGGAATTGAATTAAAGTCTTTACTGCCAGACTGAAAACTACTAAAAAGTTATGATAAACTATCAGTCATAGTAACATAAACTGTAATTGGGCTGGTGGGTGGATATATTCCAAGTCTGAGCCAAATGTGAGTAACTGTAACGTTTCCTTGACACATGACATGGTTCTCATGGTATTTCCTCCAACAATACAGTGGTTAGGAGTGTGGACTCAGCCAGACTGCCTGGGTTTGAGTGCTGGCCTTACCACTTTGTGTTTTGAGGAGTTTGTTTCCTTATCTGTAGAATAAGATTAGTAGAGCTGCCTCGACAATCAGTTATTATTGGGTAAAGCTCTTAGAACATGACTGCGACACTATAGATGTTTGTCAAAAAAAATAAATGCTTAAGCTTATATGTACTCCTAAAAGTCACTGATCTCCCTCTTCATTTCTTCAAACAAAAGACAAGGCCTTTACCTGCATCATGTGCAGCAGCAGCAGGGCCTCGAACATCATCATAGGACTGCCCATCTGTGACAATTACCAGGAAGTTCTTGTTGGGGCTATCCCTCATGGGACCAAACACATTTCTAACAGTAAAGGAAATGGCATCACCAGTAGCTGTTCCACCACTCATATAGCGGATGTTTCTGATAACCGCTAGGACATTCTCTTTGGTGCTATAGTCAGTGAAACTGAATTCTGTGCGCTGATCATAGGTAAACTGTACAGCAGCTATCTTGGCACCAATGTCTGAGATTTCAAAAGTCTTGGCTATGTTGGAAACAAATTCAAGCATGAGGCGGAAATTACTGTCTCCAACACTGCTAGAGCCGTCAATTAGAAAGGCAATGTTCACTGAGTTATAACAGGTCTTGCTGCACATCATTTGCTCATGAGCGCAGAGCTTCTGTACCAGAGGCTTTACATATTTCGTGGTGCCAAACCAGTTGGGCATGTGGTAAGAGAAGAAGCCATTACTCCGACAGACAGCCTAATGGGGGACGGGGGCGGTGAGAAGACAAAAAATATCCAAGAGATCAAAAGTTGTTTCTTAAAAGTTATGAGAACATTAAATCTTTAACGTTCAAAGTTATTCCAGATATGGGACAGTCAGCACTATGCCTCGAGGTACAAAACTGAATCACTACTATAACAGACTCCCCTCACCTCCTCACCTTGTCAACAAATGCAACATCCTGAACCATCCCCAGTTCTTCTGGGATAGGCTTGGCCACAGAAACTATAAATACATTGACACCAAACTCTCTGGCCACAATGCCTGCTTCCTCAATGTCATCAGAAGGCCAGCCATCAATAAATACCACCACCACTTTGGGGATCCCTTTTCTCACTCCAGTGTCTGCTGTGAAGAATTTCTGGGCGGTATGCTTCAAGGCTTTTCCTAGGTTTGAAAAAGAAACTAGAACAGTACCACTGCTCAAATGACATTTCTATTTCCCTGTACAAACTTGATGCCACCTAGTTTAAGAATTTTATATAGAACCCAGTTCTATGATAGATGCATAAGATGGGAAAGTTAAATTATCTGTCAGGCCTATTTTTTTTGTCTTCACGACCCACATTACTTACCCCATCCTCTCCCAGAAGCCTCTCATTTCCTTTCCTTACATCAAGCATCAGCCAGAAACACAAAACTGACTCCCACTCATGTACCGGAGCGCTCTACCTTGCCCTTAAGTGATTGATTAGTGCCTTTAAGGGCTGAGAACAAGAAGTCTCCCTTCAGGATCCGTAACACTAGTTCTTTTCACCACATCTGCTTTCATTAGGTACGTCTGTTGCTTTCTGCTGCTTTTTAGCATTCCAAACAGGTATTTCTCTAAAGTTACAACTGCCCTCTTCAATATAAGGATTATAAATCAGAATGCTTTATATATTTAAAAAATAAACTATCAGTTAACCCTTTGGTATGTTTCCCATTATAAATTGAGTATCTCAGATGATCAAGTAGCATACCTAGCCAAGATTTCAGTGCCAGGAAGAAGTTTCACATCTCCTTATATAAATTAGCATAATAACTGTTTCAGGTATCTGATCATTCATAACCCTCTGCTGTGTTACATCCCAGGGGCCAAAGTCTACTTACCTGTATTGGAATTACCCCCTCGAAAACCTACTTCCTTTATGGCAAACAAAACATCTTTGGCTGATGTAAAGTTTTTCAAGTAAAATTCTATTTTGGGATGTTCACTAAGTGGAAAAATGAAAACGAAAAAACGTTATCCAGAGAGAAATGGAAAAGGAAAACAAGGCAACATTATATACCTTAAAAAAAGTCTAAATTGAACAATGCTCAAATTTCTTAATTCCACATTATATTGTCAACTGAGGCATTGCATCCTTACTTATATTTTTAGAGATCTTTCATAAATGTAACAAAAAAATGGCTACCTTGAAGTTTTATTATATTCTGGGCAATATGTGAAATGTATAATCTCATTTCATTATAACTGTAAGATAAAAATTATCCCTATTACATAATTGAAGAAAGAGAATCAGAGCACTTAGGTAATTTGCCCAACGAAACATTACCACACTTTAAATTCAGATCTGTCTGATTTGGAAGTCCATGCCTAAACTATATGGAGCACCTGAAACCAGGATTGGCTCAGGGCACTGGGCTTAAAGGAACTCTGCAGAGTTGGGCACCATATATTAGAAGGCAGATCTTCCAGGTTGTGAGGCTAGGTCCACTCCAGTGGAGTATCCTGGAAGCACTGAACAGTCTATTAACCCAGTTCTTTGGTCAGAAGAGGCAGTTTCAATGACATGAAGGCCAACATTTTAAAAATGGGAAGGAAATGTTCTAAGGAAGTGAATTATAAAATATTACAATATTGAATTTTTCTTAAATGATATTCACATTTGCTATTCTTAAAGTTATGTATATTATGGGAGATTTGAGATTTTCCATACTTAATAGTAAAGAATTTCAGCTCACTTTTAAAACTACTCTGTTCATTAGAGACCATGTTGAGCAAAAACAGTTAAAACAATTTGTTGTGTTTTTAGCTAAGTCAATATTTTATAAGTACAAAATTTTAAGATCTTAGCATTATCAATTGCCATTAAATCAAAACTTTTGAGGGACAAGTATAGCACTAATTATATTTCTGCATACCTAATACTATGATTTCTATCTACCTCTTGGAATGTTGGGTCACAAAATCAGATTTTGTAGGTTGATAACCTTTTCATTTTTATGGTCACTTTTTAACTATCCAAATTATGACCTATGGAATTTAGTCTTATTTTTGCATCTTTAATGATATATTCTGTTATTCTGCTTAAACAGAAACTCTTGATATAGTTTATCTAATGTCCTTTATAAAACAGAAAAACTATAAACCAGGAAGTTTATAGAGAAGCTAGTCTTTGTACAAGTGTACAAGGCAGTGCAGCTTTCATCTTGCAAAGAAAAATATAAGAAAAGCACTAAAGGGAATTTGCTCTGTGAGATGTTAAAATGTACAATAAAGAAAGCTACAATAATTAAAGCATTGTAGAAAACATTTAACTTAGCAAATGAATTAAACAGACTTGCCTAAACTTGTATATAAAATTGATATCACAAATCAATGGAATAAGAAGTTCATTTTTTAAAAGGTGTGGAACAAATGGTTAAATTATGTAGGAAACAACGAAGTTAAAGTCTTACACCAAAAAATTAAAAAACAATTCTAAAAAATAACAAGAACAAATAAAATAGAAATTAATATTTGTAATAGTGCTGAGAGTTGTTTAAACTGCAGCAACTTTCTAGAAAGCAATTTAACTTTATTTCAGAAGCCTTAAAAATTTCGGAACCTTTTGACCTAATCCCTCTTCTAGGAATCTAGCTTAATCAGAGATGACACACAGGTGACATAAGGATGTTCACAGTGTAAAGCGTAATGGTGAAGAAGCAATAAAAGAATGGCTAAATAATCATGCAAAGGAACACTATGAAACATTATCTTTTGAAGAAGATTTGTAATATGGTAAAATGCTCAGGATACTAATGGATGAAAAAAACAACACAAAACATTTTTATAGTCTGAGATTTTGAAAAAGAAATACATATGTAAAATCAAGTATTTTCTTAAAATGCTGAAAAGAAATAAAACATTTTACAGTGACCATCTCTGGAGACTATATTTGAGAAATTTGTTTTCTTTGTGCTTTATATGGTTTTCAAGTTTTTTATAATGAACATATTATAATCTTGAAAATATTATTTTTAAATGAATAAAAATTTAAAGGTCAAACTTCAGATCTCCAATAAAGAGAATATGAAAAGAGCTGAAAATAATAACAGAATAGAGAGGAGAAATAGAAATATCACAGTTTCTTCCTGTAGTAAAGACAAATTAAGAATTGAGCAGAGCCGATATGCAGATGTAATTTGTATAAGCCAACAAGACCTTGTAGTCTACCTTCTGGTCCTCAAATAGCATAATATTCTATGAATCTTTTTATTCCAAAAAGGAAGCACCTAGACCTACCTGGTCTGCTCAGTCTTAAATCCTAAATTTATAGTTTAGGAATCCTGATTATCCACAACTTAATATGTTCATACTAAAGTAAAATGAATGTACCTACTAAAAGGACTGATCGTTTGTCATCATTCAAGATATCATTCAAGTCTCCCATTTTAACAAGGTTGGTACCTGGCTTGAACGAGGCCCACATGTGGTCCTTCTGTTCCAATTCCCAACATTAGAGCCACTTTCCCAACAAAATTCTTCTGTAGATTAAATCGGCGCTGCCCAATATTAAAACTTCCATCGATCAGAAATGCAATGTCTGCTTTACAGTCTGTGAATACCCAAACAAGTCTCTCCGTTAGCAATTTCAAGAGGAAGGAGGGAGGTAGAGGGGACGTTATTTTCCCAAATGGACTCACCTTTATTGCCAGTTTTCTTCTCAGGTGTTTTCTTTAGTCGTTTACCTGAAACAAAGGAAGCATCTGGCATTAGCAAAAGGAAGACGGTTCCATAGCAAGAAGCCCACATAGGCAAAAGCTTATGACAGGTAGTGTCATTCTTAAAAAGACTTTCTTCGAAAGTTAATTTTCTTTATTTTTCTGGACTGGGGAAGCAATGCCTCAACAAAGAAACAAGTCAGGACTGTAGTAGACCTACATATTCGGCATGCATCCAATCCAAAGTACCAGGCAACTATAGGTTCCATACTTCATACCTGTTGGTGGACGCGCTGTGGACACTGCTTGTCCTGTGGCTTCCTGTGTACCACTTTTGCCTTCTGTGAAAATAAAAAGGCTATTTTTTCTTCATTCTTTGTTATCAAAACATAATGAATCTAATTTAGGGTTCTATGGCATGATAGATGTGATAGAATGCTGGCAATTGCAGGAGTAACTGCTGCATTCTCATTTTAGAGAACCAAAATGGATTCTTATTAGATTATATTTTAAGAGATCACCAAAAATGAATTCACATGCATTCAGCAGCTTTTTGATTTAATGCTACTCGATAAGTGTCAGGGCGTTCTGATTGCAGACCATTCAGCTTCTATTGCCATCTTCTGACAGCAAGATTGTTCTTCCCCCATTCACCCAAGTTTGGTTTGAGTGGGTCCTTGACCCTTTGGGTCCCCTGAGTTTAAGCCATTGTTGACCCCTTCAATCTTGATCACAGGTTTTCCCATCAAGGTCAAAGAGGTTGGGCTGAGAAAAGCAGGGAAAAAAATTGGACGGGGGGCGGGGGAGGGAAGCAATATTTACACAAAAGTAAGAACAATACAATTGTACCTACTTGTGACTGTGAAGGAAGCAGACCATCTGGAAAGTGTTTGAGACTGGATACCATTGGCAACTACTGAGGAATAGTTTTCTCGACCTGGTAAGCTATAGATGCGTACAGTTCCCCCTGAGTTGCTGATTACTCCCCTGCAACATGAAAATAACAGCTGAAATTCTAACCACACTTTTCAGGGGCATATGACTGACTTGTGCCATATTGCGTCTATTGCTCTCATTAATCAAGAAAATAGTTCAGCAGAAAAGTCATTTAAGGAAGCTGCTAGCCTTTTTTAAAAACCTGTTTACAGCCCCAGGAAAATGGTTTTGTGCTATCAAACTTAAGTGTTGATAAGGACACACTGTTTCTTCATCTGTAAAATGGAATAAAATTGTACTTACCTTATACAGTTGTAGGGGTGTCATGGACATTAAAACAATGGCTTGAACACACAATGCAATATACACATGACGTATTATTGAATTGTACACTTGAAAAGTATTTGATTTTATTAACCAATGTCACCCCAATAATTAAAAAAAAAAACTAATGGCTGGCACACAGTAAAAACTCAGTAATATATTACATGATTAGGAATGTTTTAGAATCACAGGAATCTAGCTATCAAGAAATAATGCAATTTGCCTTTAGTTAGAAAGCTTCCCTGTGTAGCTGGTGTTCAAGGATAGTCAGGAAAACCTTAAAATGTATCTATATTCTATGGCCAAAATTGGTACCGAAAGAAAAAAAAGGTGGGGGGTCCAAGTGGCTAGATTGGGAAAGGAAATAATGACACTTGCATTTCTCTCCCTTTGGCACGTTTGGGCTTACCTGTGGACAGCGGCTCCACATATGCTTGACACAGAAGCATATACTATGTTCCCAAACACGGAGAATTCCTCCAGAGGGCAGCCCCCTGGGCAGAGGACATCTGCTTTCTCTTTCCTAATGTCCAGGCCTCTGGTAAAGCATGTGATAGCGATGGGAACTAAAGAGTAAGGAGGGAATGTTATAACCATTCTTAGGACTTTTAGGGCAGTGGTGGTTGGGGGAACTAACGAGGTTGAAGTTTTATTTCTCTGATTTCTTTTTTTACACTTCTTGTTAGGAATATTGACTTATGTACCATCCCATACCATTCCAGATTTCAGCAAGCCAAAAATAAATTTTCTAATTTAATCTAGTCCTCAGCCACTATAAAGTCTAATGGGAGAATTTTCTCAGTTCTTATTTGTTTGAAAATACATAATTGGAACTATATCATAACTAGAAAACATTAGGCATTGACCATTTATTAACTCGTTCTAGAAATATAAAAATCTCTCTTTGATGACAATGTACATAGTTGTCTGAGATGATGATATTAAATCTAGATTGAGCCTGTGAGGAACATTTTCATAGACACTGCATCAACCTCTCTAAGTCATCCTTTGATTCAGAGAACCATTTCTTACTAGTTTTTTTTTTTTTGGTCCACATACTGTGCCTTTAAATTATATCTTAATGTAAGCAAACCATTAAAAAGATGCTTCACTTTACCGAATGTCATTTAGCTCAATCCCTCATTTTACAGATGAAAAAATTAAAGCCATGGGGTTAATTTGTCTAAGGTCACACAGCCCAAGGAACATTCTGTAACTGCTGTAGGACAGGCAACAGGAAAATTGGTCCCTTCAGAATGGAGCATTTTTATCTGAATTGAAGCTGTTTACTTCTGCTCCAGATCTGTCCAGAGAGCTATATCAGGCATTTCTAGAAAGTACTGTTAATACTCTTGAGTTTTACATGGTCTATCCAACTAATAAAGAATCAAAAATTTTCTACAAAATATGTTAAGTAGAGACAAGCCTTTGGCAACAAGTAATAAGATAACAATACAACATACTAATCCACTTTTTACAGTGAATATTTACTGTAAATATTAAATTGAGAATAATGTTATTGAATACACTTTTCCAAACGCAGGCAATTGTGGTTATCCAAACTTTTTTGAAACAGATGTTAATTCAAAAACAAACAAACAAACAAACAACAAACCCAACTTTATTCCAAGACAGAGTAATTCTGTCTGGTCATATCGTCCAACTGAGTAGCCTTCCTCTAACAAGGACCCTCTTCTAAGAAGAGTCCTCTATGTTGAGCTGTACCCTGGACTGTCCACGTTGGTGGAAGGGAAGGCAGGATGCCAGGTCCAATGCCAATTTCTTAGCTCTGAAACACTCTAGATTGCTGGAGAAATGAAAATCCTTACCAAAAACAGTAGCCTCATACCTACGATCCTCATACCTGCTATCAAACAGCCTTAATCCTTCCTCTCATTTTTAGTAGCATCAAATGCTCTACCTTTGTCTGACAACACTGACTTTAGTGAAAGTGTGTGTGTGTGTGTGTGTCTTAGACTCATTTCTCCTTTCAAGGAAAACAAAGGATAGATGTGTGAAAAGAGTTTGCCTTTAACTGTTGTAGAAAACAAATCGAACCACACATCCATAATCGGACTTCTACCTGTGGAACAGACTCTAAGACTCTCGAATGCTGCTTTTTACAGGGGTTACTCTTAGAAACATAGCTAGGGGGTCAAGTAAGGTGGGACAACGACGTAAGCCTCTCTGCCTCTGTCTGTCTGTCAGTCTGAAGTCGGGTCCGGAAGGCTTCTTCTTGGCCCTAAACGCGGCGAAACACCCGGGACTAGGCAGTACCCCCGTGGGGCTCAACAAATAGCCCCTGCCTTGACCTTCCGCAGCCGCTGCATCGAGTGGGGGGGAGGGGAGGGGAGCTCTAGGGATCTGAGTGTGCATGGGGGGTAAGGGGTGGAGGCTTCCTCTGCGCATTGGGAAGAACACCCCTATCGGACCCCCTCCCCCTCGCGCGTGAGAAATGGGTAAGCGGGAGAAGATCGGCTGTAGGTATGAATGGCAGTGCGCCAGGAGGCCACTCCGACCTGCGCGCTCTCGGGCTTCCAGCCCCGGGGCCACCGTCCACCCGCTCGACCTGAGCGCGATTCTACCTGCTGGCCCTCAGTTTCTCCCACCGCCTGGACCGAGCGCTGCCTCCCCGGGAGCCCGCTACTCACCAGCTCCCTCGCTGAAAGCGGGCTCCGGCAGCAGCAGCAGCAGCAGCAGCAGACAGACACCTGTGAAGAGAGGACAGCACCGAGGCCGGCTCCAGCCTCTACGCGGCTTGGCGCCAGGGGCAGGGGAGAGGGGCGCGTACCCACCGAGGCCGAGAACCGGGACCCAGGCTGCAGCCATGGTGGTCGAGGGGACTGCTTGGACCTGGGAGAGAGGGAGAATGTGAGGGAGGCTCCGGGAGAGCAGAGGCTCCTACGACCCCACCACGCCGCGCCCGTCACTCCGCGGAGATCCAGCACCCCTCGGAAACCCAGGGGGCGGCCGCTGCCCCGGAGCTAGCGCCCTCTCGATCTGGAGGCGACGCTCCGGCTGCAGATCGAGCCAAACCCAGAATCGATGTGCACCCCGGGACCAGAGTGAAGGGTGCAAGATGAAGACAGACTAGCTGGGGGCGACAAAGGAGAGACACGGACGAGCAGGCTCAGGGACCCGCTCGCCCGCGCCGGACGCCGGGGGCCCTGCACCTGAGTCGGAGCCGCCCCGCTGCGTCTGAGTGCGGACAGCGCGGCTCCCGCGGCCGCTATAAAGGCTGGGCCGCGCGCATGAGCACTGTGCGGGGGGCACGCGGGGAGGGGGCCGGGAGCGGGTCCCCCAGGGCCCGGCGGCGGCGGCGGGCT